CAGCTCCCAGCAGCTCTGCTCCGTGGTACGTGCCCATCCCCAGGGCTCCCGCAGCTCCAGCCCCCCGAGCCTGTGCCGGGGATGTGCTGGCTTGCCTGGTCAAGGCTCTCCCAGCATAGCAAACCCCTCCTGGGCAGAGCCGTGTCTCCACCAGCCCTGGGCCAGGCTGTTTGGCTGGTCTCTGGGGTGCCAGCCCAGAGCCCAGGTGCTCTGGGCAGGGAACAGGGACCTCCCAGGATCGTAGCACTCCAGGTCTGCCAGCCCTCCTACCATCCTTCCCGTGGCCACTTCCTCCTGTCCCCTGCCCTGTGAGGGCCAACTGATGCTTTGGCAGAGTGAAGCCAACCCTTACCCAACCGGTCTGGCAGGGGTGGGCCCTGTCTGGCCACAGGGACCAGGTTCTGGGATGTCTTGGGGAGGTTTGATCACTTCTAGACCATTTGCCCTCCCTGGGAGGTGCCATTTGGTGACATCCCCACTGCTGATGACCCAGTGTGTGTGCTGTGCATCACCCTCACCACTGGTCCTGCCGGGGCTACTGGCCCAACGGGCTGGGCCAGAGGGTCTGGATTCTGGCCTGGCTTCCCACGCCCAGACCCGCAGGAGCTGGCCCCAGCAGATCCCTTGGCTGTGCCCCAAGGAGCAAGGGTCAGTGCTTTGGCCGTGGGCGCTCACAGCGGGTCCCACTCCCACCTCACTCTGTTCTGGGACTGTGTCCCAGGCTCTCCCCACTCCCAGAGCCAGAGTGTTCCCCATGTATTGTTTTATTTTGGGGCCTGTGGACAAATATTCCTCAATCCCGAGGGGAGGGCGGGAAGTGCCGAACAATGGTCCTGTGAGGTAGTGTCCCTGCTGTGCCCTGCGTACCCCTCAGGGCTGGGGGGCTGCCAGTGTCACCCTGCTGCAGGGCTGGGAGGGGACCCCCAGCAGAGACACTGCACCCCCCTTCCCTTGGGGATCAGGATTGAGCCCTGGGGTGGGTGACATGGGGACAGCAAGGTCCCCTTGCACTCAGCCTCGCCCAGGGTGGTGTTGAAAAGCAATTAAGCATTGAGCACTGGGACAGGTCCCCACGTCCCCATGTCCATGTCTCCCCCCGTCCCCAGCGCTGGGCCCTGGGCCGGAGCCGAGGTTGTTCTGGCGCTTCCTGCACAGGAACAGGCTCTGGGAACAGGCACTGGATCCGGCCTTGCTCCCGCCCTGCCCTAAGCCGCGGTTTGGGAATGGGGTGTGGAGCCCGTCCCGTGGTGGGGTCCCTCCCCCGAGTGCGGAACCTCTCCTGGGGCGACCTCCCCTCCCACACTGGTGTGATGAGTTTGGGGTCTCAGCTGAGCTGGGGCACCAAAGGGTTGGGGTCTTGTGTGACCTCCCATGGGAGCTGCCTCCCACCTTTGCCAGGCAGGAGGAGTGGTTTGGAGGTCCCTTGGATGCCTACCCCACCCTGTCCCTTCCTGGGATGGGGTATCCAGGGAGGGAGAGGCTGCCTGGCTGGGCCCTGGGGTGCCCCAGCCCCTCTCCTGGGCAGGAGGGTGGGAGCAAAGACAG